GGTGAGGGCGTGGGCCAAGATGGCTGTTTCTTTTGTTGTTGTTTTAATATTCATATCTGGTTTACCCAGCACCATTCCTTGAAAAGACCACCCTTTTCCCACTGACTTGTCCTAGAGCGTTGGTGCGCATCTGATGGCCATCAGTGTCTGGGTTTGTTACTGGGTTCTCTATTCTCTTCCGTTGGTCTTTGCCTAGATTTCCCCCAGTACAATGTTTTCTGGATTATGTCAGTCAGTTATGAATCTTGATATCTGAGCTCAGTCCATCAACTTTGTTCTTAATGTTTATATTTTGGGCCTTTTGCATTCATTTTATAATCAATGTTTTGTAGAATTTCTACTGAAACAAATTAACCTACTGGAATTTATATAATAATATTGACTCTAGCTCATTTGAGTAAGGACTGAGAACACTAAAGTCCAGTCCATAAACATGGTATAGCTTTCCTTTTTTAGAGTCTCCTTTGTTTTCTCTTAGCACTGTAAAGGTCTTCCACACTTACTTAGATTATTTTCTAAAGTATTTGATGTTTATGGTGTTGTTGTATAGTATAATTTAAATTTTAATTTTATAACTATTTTGCTAGCATATAGAAATTCAGTAACTGTTAGCTAATCTATTAATTTTTGGCGACCTTGTTTCAGGAGACACTACTAATTCATATATTTGTTCTTTTCCTTCTGGGGATTTAGCTCAGTGGTTCCGGCACCTGCCTTACAAGTTTAAGGTCCTGAGTTTTGTCCCCAAACAAACAAGCAATGTTCTTTTTCTCTATACAGAAGTATTATTTATTAATGATGACCTTTTGACATCATACTTTCCAATTTTTATATCTTCTTGAATGAGTTGGCTAGCACATACAGTATCATTGTTTTACCATTTAGTAAAATGTTTTCTCTAGGGATTTTTTTGTTTTGTTTTTTGTAGACAACCCTTCCCAGGCTTAGAAAGCGCCTTCCTATTCTTAAGTTTATCATGAAAGGATGGGGAATGTTATCAGATGCTTTTTCTGCATCATTTGAGCCGATCACATGATTTTTTCCTTATCAATATGAATTATCCTGATTGATTTTTGAAATGTAGTGCCAACTTTCCATTCTTGGAATGATATGTTGTATTTTTTACATATTGGATTCAGTTTGCTGTTTTTGTTCAGGGCTTTTATGTCTGTTGATGAGAGAGATTGTTTTGGAATTTGACTCCTATTATGCCCATGTCACGTTTTAGTTTCAAGGTTATACTAGCCACATAAAACCAGATGGGAAATATCCCTTCATTTTATTTTTCACTCAAAAAGTTTATTGATGTTTCTTCCTTAAACGTTTGGAAGAATTTATCAGTAAGGCCGTCTGGGCCTGGAAAAATAAATTTAGCAGGAGGATTTTTAACCCAGATTAAATTCATTGTATGTATGCATGTGTGTGTGTGTGTGTATATATATATGTATGTATATGTATATATATGTGTGTATGTATATATGTGTATATACATATATATGCATATGTATATATGTGTATGTACATTCTTCTTAAATTTTTTCTATCAGTACTTTGTGTCAGTTTAATTTAAAATATCACTCTTACTAAGATAAAGTTTTTTACAATGTTCATTTATTATCTTACATTGTAAGATCTCTATCAAGACTTCTTTCTTAATCCTAGTACCAGTAATTCAAGTTCTTTCTCTTTTTTCATTCTTAATCAGACTTTCATCAGTTTTATTAACTTTGCTAAACAACTAGCTTTTGGATTTACTGTATTCATTTTCACTTGTGTATTTGGTTTTTATATTATTCATTTGTGTTCTTGCTATTTTCTTACTTTTTAGTTTGTGCTTTTTCTACCTTACCAAGCTAGAAGTTTAAATCATTAACTTTTATCCCTTTTTTTCTATTTTATATACTTAAAGCTGTAAGTTTTCTTATTACTGCTTTGGTTGGCTCCCACAAGTTTTGCTGTGTCATATTTTCACTTCAGTATAAAATGAGAATTTTTTTTCATGTGCATTGTTTAATTTGTAAACATACAAATATTCAATTATCTCTTTTAATTCCTACTTTAGCTCTTGAGTAATTGGAAAATATATTCTGCGTGGTTATTTAAACTTTTGAACTTTTAGCCTTTTTATTCTAGTGAAATATTCCTTTTTATTTCTAGTAAAATTTTTTATTTCTAGTATTTTTCTTTTCTTTTTTTTTTCCTTCTGGCCATATTCTTATAGGGTATAAATAAGTGGTGATCCTTTGCATAGAGTGTCTTTTACTTTTGTCCTTTCTTTACCCTGATAGTTAAAATTTATGATGAAGAAATACGAGTTTAGTTTATTACTCTTAATGTTTAAATTGATACATTTCTTTTACATTTAATGGACTTGCCAGTATATTTTTAGTTAAATCTATAATCTTTCCTTTTCTTTTTGTCAACTGTTTTTTTCCTTTCTTCTGTTGAAAATAAAGCATTTTTTTCCTCATCAGATCTTTTTCATTCTATTGGCTAGTTAATTGTGTAATCTTTCAGTATTCTCTTAATGTTTTCCTAGTGTTTATTACTTAAATTGTTGATTTTTTATTTATTTAACTTAAATTCCACTTTACCAGTTATAGAACTGTGCAAAAACTTAAGTTTAATTCCATTTAACTTTCTTCCACCTTTGTATTCTTAACACAGATACATACTTTGACATACATTTTATAGCTTATAAAATATTTTTGTTATTGTTTATATAGTTTTTAAAAAATTATCCAAATACATAATTCTCTTTAGTTCTTTTTCTTCCTTGAAGTTACCTGAGTTTATTTGGTATCATTTAGGTTTTTCTTGAATTGCTCTATTATATTGGCAAAAATGTTTTCAAAACTCATTTTCTGAAAATATTTTCATTTTTGCTTTAGCTCTTGTGGTACGTTTTCAGTGAGTATAAAATTTTAGACTAGTAATTTTCTCTTTAAAAGTGCCATTTCATTTTTTTCCCTTCATTATTCCCTCAGCCTTCCCACTGAGTTACATCCTCAGCTTTGGGGTTGGTTTTTTTTTTTGGTACCGGGGATCGAACTCGAGAACTTATGTTGCGCTTGCGAGGTAGGCGTCAGAACCACAGCTAAATCCCTGGCCCTGTATTTTTTATTTGAAACATGGTGTTGCTAAGTCGACCAGGCTGGGCTTGAACTTGAGATCCTCCTGCTCGGCCTCCCAGAGTGCTGGGATTACAGATGAGTGCCACCACACCTGGCAGCCATCCTTTAGAACAGACAAAATTGTTCTTCTGAAAATAAGCTGACCCTTCCTTCTGGCCAATTTTTAACCTTTCACTGTCTTTTTCTTTAGCAGCTTGACACTAATGTGCCTGTATGCATTTGTTTCCTTGTTTGCTTTGTGTCTATCTTTTCAGTTTTTGCTGAATTCCTAGAATTTGTGAGTTCATGACTTTTGTCAGAGTGGAAGTTGTGTGCCAGTGTCATCCTGAGAATACTGCGTCCGCCTCTTCCCCTTGGCTCTCTGGGGCTGCTCATTTCCTGCATCATCTGCCTGTTTTCCCATGTATCAGGGCCCAGCCACTGTTCTGCTTTCCTTTGCCCTATGTTAGGCTGTGTCTGATGTGTGAGTAGACCTGTATGTCGTGAATTTTTATTTCCAATGTTGGGTTTTATTCTATTACTGCATTGCATATCATTTCCATTTGATTTTTTTCAAACTCCTAGAGTCAGCTGCATATCCCATAAGTGAAGGGCGCAGCCCGAGAGGACCTTCCCCATGTCAAATGCCATTTTGTGACTAAGCATGCACAAATCGTAGCTGATAACTGAATGTAACTTATGATTTACAGAACACTTTGGCATATGTTAAAGTTGATTCTCAGAACCATTTTTTGAGATTATTTTTATTTTATTAAGCCTCAGAATGGTTAATTTTTTTATTCATTAAGTGTACATTTTATGTATACAGTGATGACACTCATCATTGGGAATTTGATTTCTTTTTTTTTTGATAGCAGGGATCAAACTCCTCGGGACCTTGCACTTGTGAGGCAGGCGGCAGCACCACTGAGCTAAATCCCCGGCCCAGGGAATTTGTACCTATACATAATCTTATCTTGGTTCTTATTTTTTCCCCATTCTCCTGCTCTTCCTTCACCCGCTCCACCCCTCCCTATTTATAAAGACTGTTTCCGTTTTTTCCTTTTCTCTTATTTTTTCCTTTCCCTTCTTTCCTTTCCCCTACCCCTCCCACTTCCCCTTTGGATATTTTCTTCCTATTTCATATTATCTATTATACATTTTAATTCTCATTTACACTTTGTTTCGCACACCAAAGAAATTATTCAGTATTTACACATGTATGTCCTCTATTTCACTTAAGAGTATGGCCTTAAAAATGGTTAATTTATTAAATTAACCACACAAGTTAATAAGCGAATCAATTTAAAATGAATCTGTACACTGAGTGGTTTCCCTGTTATGTCACATTACACAACAAGAGCTGATGTATGCAAGGATTATACTTACATTACTAAACACATTAGTTAATGTACTTTAATGTACATTAAGTTACATGTGTAACTTACATATTAGGACATTACAAACAAATGTATTAATGTATATTAAATTACATAAGTTACATTAATGTAGCTAAATATGTTAGAATGGAACAAAGATGAAAAACTATTACTATTTTGAAAAACTTAATATCTTTTCTTAAGTGTCTTTCTTAATGCCAAGAAATAGTAATGTGGAAGGGACCAGACAACTTCAGAATCGACTAGTTATCTGATTTATAGATAAGCTCGGTGACATTTGAACATGATCTCTGGCAGAACAAAACAGTCGGTGTCTGTAACTTGCCATGTATCTTTAGCAGAAATGAAAATAAGTGCTTGCATATCTGTGCCACATTGTATTAGCCACTCTGTACATTCTGGTGACTGTAGTATGTGGAGGTGCTTATACATGTTTTCAAATAGTACTACTGATCATGACGCTTTTTGGGATTTACCATCCGGCCAGTGGTAGCAGCGTCTTCACAAAACGATGCTTCGAGGAGCTCTGGGGAAGACCTTTCGGCTTGCTGGCTACACCATTCAGTACGGCTGCATAGCGCATTGCGCTTTTGAGTACGTCGGTGGGGTTGTGATGGTAAGTTTTTACATTCAAGAATGTTCATTTTAAATATATATGCTGTTTTTAAATTGAAGGAAAATGTGCTGTCCTTTCATTTTAATTGAAGTTATTAATGAATAAAATATAAAAGTGGAAACAAAATCTAAGTATTGAGATATAAAAGTGTTTGCCTTGGCACTGATATAAGAACCATTACTTTAAATATGTTCTGTATTGTTTGTAACAGGGACTCATAAGGTTTTCATAACAGCCTCGTGGTAGTTACTGTGTGTTGAGTGTTACTGTTTCCGTCTCCAGGAAATGTCTGATGTTGTACACTTACTAAGTCATTCAGTCTCTCACACTTCTGTGAGATAATAGTACCGATCCATTATGCACGTGCAGAAAGAGGTTGAGAAAGCTCACCTAACTTCTTCCAGGGCCCATACTTAAGCAGCACATACGGAATTTTCGACACACATTTGTCTGATTTCCAAAACTCTTACTCATGACTACTGAATTCAACTCATTAAAACAAATAATTCTTTTGTTGTGCCAGTGTTAAAATGCTAAAGCTGGCCCTTCAAATCCCCAGCCCATACTTGTTCTCAGTATTTCATCATGAACCTGCCAATTCTGACTGTCAGATCTTCTGTCATGTCAGTGAGAAAATATCCGATTGACTGATTGGCCGGCCAATGTTTAGTTATTGTGATTATTTTTTGTATTAGATCAACGGTCAGACACCCTCAAGATGTGCTACTGTAATATAAATACATTTAACTGAAAGTCCCTCCTTAATTTTTGAAGGTTACATTGGCACTTCTACAAGTAGCAAACTTTCACAGTATTCTTTGTTCTGCCTAAGTGGAAAGTTGTAAAAAGTTTTATTTACAGATAAGTAGGATAGCGCGAGACTGATGTGTTTGTGGTTTTAAGTTGCTTATTTATTCCAGTTTTGAGGTATATATCAAGATTACAGTTTTAAGACATACAAATATGAATGTGTTTAAAGTGCATCTTGTTATGCCAGCAAATTTAGGTCTGCGTTGCAGCCCCATGCATTGAGGAAGCCAGTGTCTTGGAAGAGGGAGGCGGTTGCAGAGCAGTGAGAAGTGGGTAGCATTCGATCCGCGCACTGGGTGGTGGTGGACAGCAGCCAGAACAACACAGGCCTCGCTCATCTAGGATGAGTGTGGCGCTGCAGCTCTATGCCGAGTGCTGGTCGTCCTTCATTACAGAGCTGGGAAACGAGGCGCAGGTCTCCGAGCTCACACAGCTCCCCTTCTACAGTGTGGCCACTGTCTGGAAACATGGATAGCATCACCTTGTGCAGATAGCAAAATGTCATCGTGTAAACCACTTGTACTTGTGTTTCCAGTGTAGTAGCTGTTCTGGAGGAAAGCTTACTTGGGAACTGCCACCATAGGAATCATCCCCAAGATGGAAGAACATTTCCTTGGTTTTCTTTTAAGCCACTCAGGTGACTTCTGTTACACTGAAGGAGGATTTGAACTCAAATTACAGAACTGTCTCTTTTTTCAGTGTTCCGGACCATCAATGGAGCCTACCATTCAAAACTCAGATATTGTCTTTGCAGAAAATCTCAGCCGACATTTTCATGGCATCCAAAGGTAAATTTCCATCCTAGATAGATTCAGGTTACAGTGAAAGGACAGGTACATGTTGGGCTTTCCTATAGTGTCTTCACTTTACCTTTAAAACCAGCTTTGTAAATCATCAAATTAATTTGATAAAATTGTGAGTCAAATATTTTCTCAGTCCGAGAAATTTTTTTTTCTGGTACCGGGGATCGAACTCAGTACCTTGTGCTTGCAAGGCAGGCTACTGAGCTAATCCCCAGCCCATCAGTCTGAGAAATTTTAAGTTTCACTAAGCATGTGCAGTCTCTTGGGCCACTGTCCCTTGCATTACTGTCCCAGACAGTTAGCCATCTCTTTTTCACATGGAAACCTAGTTCACTGTGTTACTGGGTCCTGAAATATTCTGAGTCAACAACTGGGAAGTTTAAAACTGTGTTGCGCATCAAGTAACTATTCTGGGTAATTTTTGAAACTACTCTGTAGTTTGCCTGATGACTGCTATAATTTTTTCTGTATAGGCTGTGATAACCATTTAATGATTTCTAGAGTATGGCATTATATAAAAGGACAGCTCTGATTCTCTAAAATTTTTGAGTCCATTTATAATGAATCTGTACTGCCCTTCATCTCAACTACAATGTGACTGTCTCCACCTGCATCTAATTATGCTCTCGTAAGTAGGTCTAGGTACTTCTCTCTCACTGTCTACCTTGGCTGTAGCCCATTTCTTATTGAGAAATCATTCAAGTAATGGAAAGCCATTCCTGCTGCTCACTCTTACTAGCCCTTGGTTCTACAGAGGGAAATTCTGCTCTAACACGATCCCTGGGAAAGTGTTCAGATCTACTTCAGGAAACCTAATTGTACATATAGGGTTATGTATCAACAGTCGTGTCATAGGCTGTATTCTAACTCTACTTTCTTTTTGACTTTATCAAAATAACCTAATACAGCCTTTGCATTAGCTGGGCACTCAGCCTCACTATAGCATGAAGAAAGCTTCTGTCACAAGGATTCTACAATCTTAAAACATCCTTAAGGGGCTAAAACTACTGGCTGAATAGTTTTTGAATGAACAGCTCAATGTCTTATGTTTACATCTAGGAAACAAAGATTCTTTGAAGGTTTCATTTTTGTTCTGCGGCCCATCTGGTTGTAGAAGAGGTCAGAGTCTGCATCCTGTCAGACATAGGAGAATAACATTTAGCACTAAGGTTGCCGGTTGGTAACTTCTCCTTTAAAAATATTACCGTCCTTGTTCTTTTATCTGCAGCACAGAACACTGAGATTTCAGGGGGATTTCTGTTTGGAGCAAGGTTCCCTTGCTGGCTGCCTCTTTGTAAAGACAGAAGAGCCTTCCATGTAGGCAGCTATCAGAGTCAGTGTACGTGCTGTCCCAAGCACCTGGCTCTTTCCCATCAGCTGCACAGAACACTCATCCACGAGACAGTCACGTCCTCTTGTCTCTTCTTCTCCCAACAAACAGCTAAGGAGCACCTCATGGATAAGACTCAAAGGGAAGGAAATGAGAAAGACTGCCGTTCCTTTCTAAAGTATACCTCTCTCTAGTAGGATAAGGATATTTACAACTGCAAATGAGAAAGGAAGTTTTAGCTAACAGATCTATTAAGTTTCTTTGAAATCCCTTTTTGAAAAAGTTGCGAGTGCAAGAGACACATATTGATCTAATTTATACGTATACCTGGCTATACTACCGGAGACACAGTCTGCATTCATATTACTTCCTGTTAGAGCAGCTTGCCTGAATTACAGTTCATGTTGCACACACTCTAAGTGCACGGCTTAAGGTTATTTGATTAGAACTTAAACTTCCTGAGACACCCATGGAAAAAGTTTCTTCTTCCAGTGCTGCCCAAATCAACTTTGGTAGTGTGTTCACATCTTCACAGACTTACTCTCTGAACAGTTCTACTGACATGGCTGGAAAGAGAAGTTTATCCTGTCTTCAAAAACAGGAGGTATTATTTTGCCACCAAATTACTGAATTTAATGATTTGATACCATTCTGCTCCTACCAAGAATAATTTCAAGACATGACTGTTGTGAATACTGTTTCTGGAGTTTCTCTAAAAATAGTGTCCTTTATTCCCATATATACAATCTTTCTTATGAAATTTTGCCATATCTCCTGCTGAACTTTATTAATTAATGATTACTGTGTAATAATCTTAATTCTTTTACTTGGCTACCAAAAGGCTTAGCATTCTTTGTGATATTCGTAATATAGCAATAATTAAATTTCTGATTTGATTGTCATCTTCCTTTTATTGTTACAGCTTTTGATATTATTTTAACATTTGTCTTTTATTATAAATAACATCAAATTATCTCTGGAACTTGGTACAAATAATAAATGTGTTTTTTTTCTTTTCTTCTTTTCATGGTACTGAGGTTTGAACCCAAGGCCTTCGCAATGTGCCACCCCCCCCCACCCCACTCTCCTTTTTGAGGCAGGGTCTTGCTGAATTGTGCAGGCCAGGCTGAGACTTGGAATCCTCCTGCCTCGGTCTCCTGGTGTGCTCAGATCACAGGTGTCCCCCACCACACTCAGCTTCAGTTCTGTTAAGTACATGTGTTAGTGAGCAGTTCACATGCTGCTTATTTTACACAGAAAGAGCATTGTGTTCCATTTGGTGGGGGCATTAGCTCTATATTCTTTGTATCTGTTTTTCTGCTTTTCAAGATCTTTCTTATCCCCTTACTATGTAGTATCACTACTTCGGGAAATCGTGCCTTCCCTGTTATTAGACCTACCGTGGTTTTATGTGTTTGATAGCACATCTTCTTTTTTATAGTGTTGACTAGCTTCTATTTTATTTGGTTGTGATTTTTAAATTTTTCCCCCAAATATGTTCTTTTGGCTAACCTGAAAGGTTCATATATGCCCTGTATGACTTACATTTTGTGACTCAGTTCTTCCAGCTCTGGGAAACACAGACGAGGTTTCTTTTCAGTACTCTAGAGTCAGTCAGTGCTGGGCAGTGAACTTTATTTTGGTGGCATTTATATGGATTTGGCTCCCCACCATTTTGTTCTAAAAATTTGGGTACAGTAGTAACATACTGTGGATATGGTGAAGATAATTTTAGTGAACCATTTGAAAATTTACTCTTCTACAATATACGAAACTCTAGATGGCCTCTCCGTCACTCTCATTGGATTGTAACCCGGAACAGGCAGTCGTAAGGTCTCCACGCTGGTGAGTGTCCGAGGGTTAAAGCAAGAAGATAACTGCCTTCCTTAAGTCGCCTATGACATGACAAAGCCAGCACCGTGCATGTGCAGACGTGATGAATAACACTGGTGTTTCTTTGCCTTCCCCTCAGAGGTGACATTGTGATTGCAAAAAGCCCGAGCGATCCAAAGTCAAATATTTGTAAGAGAGTAATTGGTTTGGAAGGAGACAAAGTCCTCACCACTAGCCCATCAGATTTCTTTAAAAGCCATAGTTATGTAAGTAATATTTCAGTTATGTTGTTCATTGCTGTCATAGTTGATTAATATTGACTGAATACACCGAGAAAACCTGATAACTTTTGAATGTAAGGAAAATGCTATATTCAGTATAATTTAAGTAAATCAAGAAAAATTTGGCCATTGCATTTTGTATATTTTAGTTCCCATGTAAATATGTCAGTAGTAATTAAGACAGACACGATTTCCCAGTGGATGCTAAAATTATTGGACACCAGTTTGAGGAGAAACAGGTATTTTCACAGTCTCAATGTCTCTCTCCTGAGGTTTTACTATAAAGGGAATAATAGTCACGTAGTAGAGAAGAAACCTGCCTGATGCCTCCTTAACCAGATGCTGAAGGGTGACTTCACAGGGACACACAGGGGCACAGCAAGGGGCCAAGGGGCGTGTCTCGTGGGATTCTTAGCCAGCCACACCAGACAGCCCACAGAGCCAGCCTTGGCCTGACTCGAGAGATCGATGTCACTGACCAGTGCTTCTCAAAACTGTTGCGGTCATGAAAAACAAGAAAAGTCTGGAGGCGAGAGGAGGAGGCAGGATAGATAGCTAAGATCAGTCTGGTTCCCTGGCTTAGAAAGTTTGTCCTCTTACTCATCAGTTGGAAATCTAACAGAATCAAAAGTCTGCAGTTTGGTTTTTTAAAACCTCTTGAATGCCAGGTGCAGTAGTACACACCTGTAATCCCAGCACTCGGGAGGCTGAGGCAGGAGGGTTGCCATGGGTTTGAGGCCAGCCTGGGCTACATAGTGAGTTCAAGGCCAACCTGAACTACATAGCAAGACCCTCACTCACAAAAAACCAGACAAAACAATACTCTTGAAAATGTTCAGAACAGAAATCCCATGTAATCACCTTGCCTACGACAGTAGAAGAGTGCAAGAGCAGTGGATGGGAAGGGCAACAGCGTATGTCGGGTGCTGCTTCTCTCCCCGTCACACGGCTACCGTGACAGACTTCATGGACGTGGCCACAGCCTCTTGTCTATTCAGCATATACACTGCGGACTTCTCTAACTACAGCTTAATTTTCTACTTCAGTTTTTTCGTGTCACTATCACATTATTAATACAGCTGTTGTTTGTTAACCAACTCTGTTCATTCCTAAGACAAGTAATTGGAGTAAAATTGTCTTCTGCAGTGTAAATTTGTTCAGATTTACAGTAGCCTCTGATTGCCCACAAGAGACTTTGGTCAGCAGACTATGAAGCGGTCTGTTACTTGCCATCCATACTAGACTGCGGCCCACTATGCCGCTGTTTCTGAGGCTATCGGGACTGCTCCGCACTGTGCTTTTTGGCGGCGGGGGTGATGTGGAAGAGGTGCTGAGGTGCTAGGTGATCCGCTTGCTGCTTGTGGCCTTCAGCATGAGCACCGTGTCCATTAGAGTCTGCGTGGGATTCTCCTCCACTTTCTGAGATGTTCCAGTCACTTCCAGGTGGCGTCAGTGACAAGTGTGTCCCAGAGACTAGGAAGAGTTCGGTCACCAGAGTGAACACGACAGATGCACAGTAACGTCCTCTGCTTGGGGACGTC